ATTGAGCCTTATTCCAAGTCCGGGGCTGGGTGCTGGGGAACATAGATAAATAAGACATTCTTTTTGCCCTTTAATATTTTATATTCTTGTAGGGGACACAGACATGTGAGTGTATAAAGAATATTTTATATTCTTGTAGGGGACACAGACATGTGAGTGTATAAAGTATAATATGAAGACTATAATATTGGTATATTCTGGATACAGATGAAAAATATCAAGGGAACACAGAAGAGGAAATGGTTAGTTCTGATTCAGGGTTTCAGTGGGGATGTGAACTTTGGGTTAGGGCTTGAAGGAGTTTTGCCAGGTGGATGAGCCTTGATGGAAAGCATTTCCAGGCAGGGAGAGGAATGAATTGCACAAGGAAAGACAGAAAGGCTACATTTGGGTCCCTGGTATACCTATGACCTCTAAGAACTCTGAAGGTTAATACAAATCTAAGTCATTCTTCCACTTTCCTGTGCATGCAAACCACCTGAGAATCTTGCTAACATGCAGATCCGAGCTCAGAAGGTCTGGATTCTAACAAGTTCCTGGGGATCTATGAACCACACTTTGAGTTACCAGTATAAGGCTGTAGCATTTAAATTGTTGTCTACTTCAGCAGGGCTTGCGAGTTGGTATAAACTAGGAGCTAGATGGAGAGCACAAACACGTCTTTTGCTGTGAGCAAGTTACTAAAAGTATTAGAAGCCTCTCCTTTTGAGACTGACATTTCAGAAACAGTTTCTGCATTGTACCTGAACCAGCCAGGGGTGTACTAGTAAATTGAGGTGACTCATTTTGGTGACTGGAGGTCACTGGAGGTCACCTATTTAGATGACCTGGGATCAAGCACAGCAGGAAAGGTAAGGGGATGGTTTGGGCAGGCCCAGTCAGCAGGGCAATGGTGAACTCCTTTGTGTAGGGTTGTGGGAGAGGCACAAAGGCAAGCAGCACACATGAGACTTTCACAGTTTTAAATTGACTCAGGCTCCTGCAGAATGACAATTAGAAAAATAACCCAAATTAACATTTTGGGTTATTTTTATGATGCTTCCCAGGTGTTTAATTTTTTTAAAATGTAATTTTATTGATTTTAGAAAGGAAAGGAAAGGGAGAGGGAGAGGGAGATAGAAACATCAGTGATGAGAGAGAATCACTGATTTGCTACCTCCTGTATGTTCCCTACTGGGATTGAGCCCACAACCGGGGCATGTGCCCCAACTGTGACTTCCTGGGGTTCAACCACTGAACCACACTGGCTGGCACAGGTGTTTAATTTTTTAAAAATTTTTTTTATTATCTAAAGTTTTACATATGTCTCCTTTTCCTTCAATTGACACCCCCGCCCCCAGCCATTCCCACCCTGGGCAAGCCCCCACCACCCCAGTGTCTGTGTCCATTGGTTCAGGTGTTTAATTTTTAATTAGAAAGAGCTGCATCAGTTGGAATGCTCTGTTTTGAATTTATAACAATGCTCTTTCTAAAAAATAATTAAAAACACACACACAGAAGCACTAGTTCTTTGCAGAATGTTGGACAGTAAAGCATATTTTTTGGCTGGTCTTGTGGAGTCGATGACCTAGACTGATTTTCTTTCTTCCTATTTTCCATACATCAGGCAGTCGCCCTGCCCTCTTTGGGGAGCTGGCATCGGTGAGTGGTTTGACAATGTGGAAACAATCCTGGAGGGGCCCACCTGTTGTGCTAAAGACAGGCTGTGATCTCCAAATGAGATCACGAGCTGCCCTGCACTTTCATCTTCCCTGCTGTTAATGCTGGCTGTGAATGCAGTGGAGAGACTTCATTAAACTAATGAAGGAGGAAAGATCAAGTGATTATTTTTCACAAGAATAGTTCTGGTCATGCTTTCCTTTCTGTGATGAAGTTTACAGGACCAAGGCCTGCAGGGAGGACATTTGGGGGGACCTGGCCTGAAGGGGAAGGCAGTTAGGGGGGACCAGACCCACAGGAGAGGGCAGTTAGGGGCAAACAGGCTGGGATGGGAGCAGTTAGGCATCAATCAGGCTGGCAGAGCAGTGGTTAGGGGGTGATCAGGCTGGCAGGCAGAAGTGGTTAGGGGCAATTAGGAAGGCAGGCAGGTGAGCAGTTGGAAGCAGCATTCCTGGATTTTGAGAGGGATGTCCCAGATTGGAGAGGGTGCAGGCTGGACTGAAGGACATCCATCCCCGTGCACAAATTTTATGCATTGGGCCTCTAGTTTCTACTTTAATATGAACTTACTAGAGGCCTAGTGCATGAAATTCATATATAGTGGAGTGTCCTTCAGTCCACCCTGCACCCTCAAGGGATGTCCAATTGCCAGTTTTCGCCTGCTCCCTGACCTGGGGAAGCTCCTGTGTTGAGCGTCTGCCCCCTGCTGGTCAGTGCATATCATAGCGACTGGTCATTCCACTGGTCATTCTGCCGTTCAGTCGATTTCCATATTAGAGTTTTATTATATAGGATAATATTACCAGACCTTCAAATAAGTTAGAAAGTTGCACTTGGATAGTTTCTTTGGCCAACCCTCCCACTAGTTTCATGACTCCTCTCTGTTTTCCTGCCTTTATCTCATTTTAAAAACACTTCATTGTTTTAAGTTCAGTATAAATGTTTTATTGGTTTTCTAGTTATCTCAATATCCAGGGTTTTATTGGTTGTTTCTGTTTTATCTAAGTCTTCTTGAATGTTTTTACTGATTTTAATTAAAAAAAAAAATGCTTTCTTTGAACTTACAAAAGGGCCATGAAGACAGGGTTGGCAGGTTAAAAGAATTTTCCTTCTATAGCTCTTAAAGTTTGTTCCTGCCTCTAAATCTTCAAAAGTAGGCACTTAGAAGCTCTGGGGGAAATGTGTGAGGAAAGAGGAAAAGGGTAAAGAGAGTAGAATTTAAAATTTTGATTTTGTCTTTCAAGGAAGATACTTCATAAACAAGATTATATGTATGTGTGTATGTACACATACCTAGAGGAACACCCAATTTTATTGTGTGTTACCTTATTGCATGTCACAGATGTGTATTTTACAAATTAAGGCAAGATCCTTCACCAGCAAAAAGATTGACTTGCTTTGTTCCCATATATTGTGGTTTGGAACAGAACTTGCAATATCTCTGAGGTATGTCTCTGTTTGCATGTGCATGATGCTTTTTAAAAAATGAGCTTCTGGAGCCCATGATTACATAAATAATAAAATTCGTCTCCCACCTGCTTCTTCCTGAACCTTACATGCTGCATTTAAATGTAGAGAACTTTGTATATTTAGCAGATATTTTAAACATTGCCTTGGAAAACTTTGCTCCTAAGACATAATTCTTTCTACAGTAGGTCCTCAGGTTACATCAGAGATCCATTCCTACGCCACGATGTAACGTGAGTTTTGCCATAAGTCGGAACCCACCTACATAAGCACCCATGTCACTCACATGGAGCACATACACAGCAGTAATGAAGTGCAACAGTAAAAAAAAATTTAAAAGAAAGATAACAATTCCTGACCTTTACTTGTGGTAAATAAATAATAAAAAACATAAAGCACATTTGTACATAGGTCAAAATGATGGAACTTTTATTTTTTTTAAATAAATAAATGGGAGATGGCAACCATGAAATGACATATGTCAAGTACGACATAATCCGAGAAAAATCTATAGTTATACAAATAACTATGTAAAAATATTTGACTTTTACAATTTATATAGTTCTTTTCACAAATATATGTGAAGTTTTATAATAATTTTACAGAGGCAGAAAGAGGTTCAGAGAAGACAAGTGACATAAGGCCACATAGCCAGTAGGTAGAACTATGCCACAAACTCAAGACTTTTAAATCTAAAGCCCAATTTCTAATAGAAATAATGAAATAATCTCTCATACACTGTGGTCTTTGGTGAAGTTGGTAAGGCCAAGCTTTTTCAAAGAACTTGCAAAAACCCTTCATGATCTGGCCTCTATTTCCTTATTATCAACCAGAGCTAGTTGTGGTCTTTTTCAACTCCTTGAACAGGATTTCTTACCTTAGGTGTCTCTGTGCTTCACTTTTCCCTTAATTCTTATTCTGCCCAATTATTCATCCTTCAGAGCCAGCTTAAATATGATCTGAGGTTTGGGCCTCTTGCTATCTCTTTGGATCAATTCACCAACCCATCCACTCTCTCCTAGGAGTCTGGATTTTTCCTTTGTAGCATTTAATATAATTGTGTTTACATAATTAGGTAACATTTCTCCCACAAGGCTGAATGTCCTACCAGGTAGGGACTGTTTTTCTTGCTAGTCACTGTATTACCAGGACCCTAGGACTTTGTATAAAGCAAATACTTAATATTCTCTTACTATGTACTCTGTTAGATATTCTCAAAGGAGTGGGTGGAGAGGCACATAAAGTTTGAACTTGGAGGTGGAGACAGTGGCTGAACAGCCAGAGATGAAAGACTTCAGGGCTTATGGGGAAGCAAGAGAAAGTAAAAAGGAGACTATAGTGTGCTTATTTAATGTTTCCCTCCCTTTCCCAACATCCCACTCTCACCCCACACAAACCATTCAACAATAATCTATGCATTCATTTTTTTTTATATATACATTTAAAAAATGTTTTTATTGGTTTAGAGAAAGAGGAAAGGTGAGGGAGAGAAACATGAGAGAACAACATTATTAATCTGCTGCCTCCTGCATGCCCCCCACTGGGGATTGAGCCTACCCCCAGGAATCCAATCAATGACTTCTTGGCTCCTGAGTCAATGCTCAACCACTGAGCCACACTGGCTGGGTTGCATTCATTTCTTTAAGGAATGAGGTAAACCTCAGATTACAAAACCAAGGCCAAAATAACTTTGCAGAATTAGAATGTGTTCAAGAAACCAGTCACACTTTAACTGGATCAGACTTCAACATGGAGCATTTGTGTTCCTCTTAGCTTAGGAAGCCTGCAGTCATCCAACATGGGGAAAGAGAATAAATACTCTTGCTTTTGTTCTCAGTTGCAGAGGAGGACGTTTCTCTCCGCACTGAAAAACACTATTTCTTTTTTCCTGCTCTTTTTCCCTCTCCTTTCCTTGGTTTCCCCTTTCCACGAAGTTTCTTCAGACGTCTCTGCTCATCCATGAAGTCCTGATGCTCGTCTCTGAATGGAGAGAGAAAAACAAGGCAGGATTTTACAGATTGGAAAAGTACACCAACCTAGCACTGTTCCCTTAGGGGTTGTGGTAATTAATCCCCGACTTCTACAAAGCACATGCTCAGCTTGAACAGAAAGGATGGGAAATCTCCAACATACAGATTCATTGTATTCCAAAAGTTCACTTCTAAATTACAGCTCCCCTTCAGAGAAATAATGACACGGATAGCAGTTAATTCTTGGGCCAGCCATGTAAACCTATGTAACTACGATACCACGCTAATAATTACCCCGAGTTCCCCTATAATCCCAAGACAAAATACAAGAGGAGCAGAAAGTGGGCAAAAACTTCAATAGCTACACAGAGACCCTGAGAACCCCGGGAATTAGCACCTACTCCCAGGGGGAATGGTGTGGAGGAAGCTGACTTAATGGCAGTAGACAGTTGAAACCAAAAGGCTCAGGCAAATGACAGCCAAATCAAAGGACAGCTACTCTAGGGATCAAGGCAACCTGGACTACATGTACAAGCAGAAGGGGTGTAAGATGAAGACTGCCCACTATGTGTAACAAATGTGTTTTCTACAATCAAATACCTAAAGAACAGTGGTTTTTATTATTTTTTTTATTTTTATTTTTATTTATTTATTTTTAAAATATATTTTATTGATTTTGTACAGAGAGGAAGGGAGAGAGTTAGAGAGCTAGAAACATCAATGAGAGAGTCATCGATCAGCTGCCTCTTGCACACCCCCTACTGGGGATATGCCTACAACCAAGGTACATGCCCTTGACCGAAATCGAACCCGGGACCCTTTAGTCCCCAAGCCGACGCTCTATCCATTGAGCCAAACTGGTCTTGGCTATTTTTTTTTATTTTTTAAATATATTTTATTGATTTTGTACAGAGAGGAAGGGAGAGAGATAGAGAGTTAGAAACATCGATGAGAGAGTAATCCATCAGCTGCCTCTTGCACACCCCCTACTGGGGATAGGCCCGCAACCAAGGTACATGCCCCCGACCGGAATCGAACCCAGATCCCTTCAGTCCCCAAGCCGACGCTCCACCCATTGAGCCAAACTGGTTTCGGCCGAACAGTGGTTTTTAAATATGTAAGCTCAGGAACCCATTTGAACCTGGTTTCAAATCACAGCTCCACCATTTAGTAGCTGTGTGACCTTGGATAAGTGACCTTCCCTCTTTAAATCTTAGCCTCTCCATCTGTACAATAATAGCATATGAATTAAATGTCTCAGAGGGTCTTGCTGGCCAATTTTTAATTTCCAAGGCTGTTTTGAAATAGTAGTTTTACATGGTATGTTGTTTCAGTCCATGAACGTGATGGATACAACATACCTCTTTGGGATTAGCTATGATTGCCCCAAATAATCTATTCTCAACAGAGGCCAGAGTAATTCTTTTACAATGTAAGTCACACCCTATCATTTCTTTCCTCACAGCCCTGCAAAAGCTCCCCATCTCACCCAGAGCAAAAGCCAGAGTCCTTCCTACAGCCCTCAGAGCCCTTCATGATCTGCCTGCAGTCCTATTGCTCACCTAGTTCCGTGCTGCTGGCACACACCAGGTGTACACCTGCCTCAGGGTCTTCGCTCTGCTCTGGCCTCTGCCTCGAAAGCTCTTCTCCAGGTTCCACTGGGCTCACTCATCACCTTCAAGCCTCAGCTTAAACCTCATCTTCTCAATGAGGCTAACCCTGACTATCCTGTTTAAGACTGTGACCTACCTGCTCCCCACCCACCTAGCGCCTTCTCAGCACCCGTGATCCTGCCCAGTCTGCTCTTTTTTTTTTTTTTCCATAGATGTCCAACTTTATAACATTCCACATCATTATTTAGTGTTTCCCTCTTCTTCTATATTCCCTCCCCAATTCCCACCCACCCCCAGACAGAAAGAAAGCTCCGAAGGGGGCTTTGTCTCTGTTGATGAAATGGCCCACGTACCTGACAGACTGAATGGGCCACTGTTTTTGAGAATCGATGCTTCCCTCCTCTTTACAGATCTTTTGAAGTAATATTTTATTTATTGTAGGTTGTCTAGTTTCATCCTGCCTTTTGCCACAGCAGGCGAGGGTCCATTTACCATAACTAAATACATGAAAATAATTGTGCTTTTCCATGGATAATGAAATGCTAAGTGTTTTTTTCCCTGTACCCAAAAATAGGCAAGGCTTTATTTTTCAAACAAACGTAGAAGGCAGCAAATAGGTACAATAAAGTAGCTGAATGTGATTTTGTTATGGGTTATAATTTTCTATTCAGGAGATCTGCCTTCTAGTGATATTTTCTTTTGGGTCATAATAAAATTAATTTCTATTTTCTGAGCCCAGGCTAATGGCAAGGGAAACTGTCCCCAAAGCAACCCCAGAAGTTCAAATATGCATGGATCATCATCTGTAATAATATATTAACCAAGAAAACCTATTTGTTCACTGTGGCTCCCTTGTGCCCATCAATAAGTGCCCACATGTGGAAGGTACTTTAAAAAATATCTGTTGGATAAATGAATGCAGCTATCTGGAATGAACTAGTAATTTTATTACATTAGAGTGAACAGTCCCAAATGAAATTTTGTTTTGTTGCCCTAAGAGTTCAATTAAAACATGTTACATAAAAAATAAGTAGGCATTTTAACTTTATACAATTATTCATTGTTTGAATTTGTTTGTAATGAGTATGTATTAGTCTGATAATTAAGACTTTTTAAAAAAGAAAATGATCATGTAGGTATTTGATATATTTTATTTCTAGAGTTGTATAGTGTTCTGAGTTCCCACTTCCTATACATACTTCCTAAACATACCCACTTCCTAAACATACAAATGCATAGTGGAAAGAACCTACTATTCTTATTATTATACATTAGTATTCTATTATAATAGCCTACATATTACAATTAAAGGTGAACTACACCTCATTTAGACCATGTTAGTATATTAAAAAGTGTACCAACTAAAAATGCCAAAAAAGGGTACAAGGCAATAACTCCAACAAAATTGCCACCAGGAAAGAAAGGAGGCTGTCCCACACCTGCTAGGAAGCATATTGGCCAACAGGAACTGCTCAATGTTTGAACCAGTTTTCCTCCACATTCTCTTAGAACAGTGGTCGGCAAACCGCGGCTCATGAGCCACATGCGGCTCTTTGGACCCTTAAGTATGGCTCTTCCACAAAATACCACAGCCTGGGTGCGTCTATTTTGAAGAAGTGGCATTAGAAGTTTAAGTTTAAAAAATTGGCTCTCAAAAGAAATTTCAATCGTTGTACTGTTGATATTTGGCTCTGCTGACTAATGAGTTTGCTGACCACTGTCTTAGAATGAATGCTCTTGACTAAACATCTCTCTATAGCTCAGTATCAATATTAAGTCACATTATGGGCATAATGTCTTCTAATAAGTGCATGTTTCCCTTTATTTTTGGTAGGCCCATCATAGATATATATATATTCGTTAATCCTCATCTGAGGATATTTTTTCTGTTGATTTTTCAGAGAGAGTGGAAGAGAGGGGAGGGGGAAGAGTGTGTGTGAGAGAGATATATCTCCTGGTTGCCTCCAACACATGCCCCACTCATGGTGGATTGAGCCAGCAATCAAGGTACTTGCCCTTGACTCAGAATCGAACCTGTGAATGCTATAACCACTGAGAAACTTGGCCAGGGTCCCATCATGAATATTCTGAAAGTTTTCCTCCCCTCCCCGCTTTCTGACCTACTACAATAATCTCTTACAAGTTGCTCTTAGTTTCTTTGTCATTACCTGTAGAGGCCATAGAAACGCAGTATCCCCATGAGCGCAAAATAAGTGTTGTGATTTGGATACCAGTCATATGTCTCCTTCCTCTTGGCCAAAGGCTGCTCACTAAACAGCTTCACCACTTTCATGGACTTGGAATCAGTAGGCCTGGCAACTTCACCAAATAGCCGGGCACTCAGACGAGTCATGCGCAAGGCATATTCTGAAAGGGAAGACATTTCTGGGGCAGCAAGGAGGAAGAGTCCCTACAGAAAATGAGAAGACAAATGGTTTAGTGTTAGAAATTCACAGATTACTGACTGAACACTTTAGAAAGTGAAAGCACAGCAAGTCACACATGATTTTGTTCATGTTGTTGGCAGGACATGCCTTGGAGCTGAGAACTATCCACAGTCCAAGTGGCTATTTCCTTTGCATGTTTTATATTTGCAACTTTATATTTGGTATTCACATACTATCGCTCCCTTGCTCTATGCCCTGCTTTACAATAAACTATTTTGTGATTCAATGTTATTTAGTGATGGTCATACCTATTCGTAGGCTAGATGAGGGCAGAGAAACAAGTTCTCCTACCACAGTATTATTATACCTTCAGAAAACACCTACCTAAGCAGTCTCCAGAATAAATATGCTGACTGCTTGCCATCTAAAGGTTTAATCATGGCAGAGAAATAATTACGCTGTTGTCTTTATTATCAGCCCTTTGAACACTGATCTCCTCAAGGGCTCCAGATGGCTGAGAACTGCTAATGAGTTATGAGGTCATTTAGCCTCTAGGTTGCTGGATTGAATTCTGTTTAGAGACTGAGAGCCATTTGGGAAAAACAAAGATAGTGGTCTTACAGAAATAAAGTGAAGATTCATTTTATTTCCGAATAGAGGGCACTTATGAATTGTGATATTACTTTTGTCTTATCTTCCATCTTATATATTCTGCTTTAATGCAAACTGGCTGTCTTATTAGCTGAAAACAGTAACTTATTCTTCAGAGGTGTGGGAAGCCACCGCATGTCAACACTGTCCTGACCATGCACCAAGGAACGTGGGGGCGATGGACCTGGAGCGTTAGCAGGGCTGACGCTAGGCATGGACTGTTTGTGTGAGATAGTGGTGGCTCGAAGCAATCTCCTAACCTGAGAGCCTCCAAGTGAATGTTTACTGGGCCTTAATGATCTTTACTGACCCTTGAGACTGTCTGCTGCTTATTTGCCATGCTTTACTGAGGACAAGGTGTGTATCTAAAACTGAATAAAAAGTGGACTGGGCCAGGACTCAGTGAGCCTCTTCAGGAAAGAGATTCCACCTGGCCCCTAATGCCTTCTAAATTCATATTTCTTGTATAGCATTTTCATGTGTGCATCGGCCCCCTCCTGCAGATCCTGAACTTAGTTGTGCAGGTCATGCAAGAGGCATAGAATGTTGAAATAGGTATATAAATGATATATGTAATATGCAGAAATTATAGCTAACCTATCAAAAATTATATAGGTGGTACATAAAAACCAAGAATATTCTGGTGAAATAACTATCTTATTCCATTCCAGTTAGATGTAGGTAATTATTGGCAGAATATGCTAATTTATGTGACATTAGTGAGATGAAAATCTATGCTAAGAGACCATCCTGGGGGGTAGTTCAACTAGGATGAAAAGGAGTTGATCTCCAAACAGAAAAATGTCATAAACCTGTCTTGGAAAAATATATAAAAAATAAAAATCCCCTAAACAGGAAGAGTGCTAAGTAAATTTCAAAATAACCAGTGCAAGAAAAACCAAACCAGTATTTAAATTAAGGAATATTTAATGTCTATGTCAAGATCCATTGAAAGAGCAGAAGCTGGCTTCAAACCAATTTCAGGATTATCAATCTCAAAACATTTATCATTCTGAAACCAACCAAGCAATCTTGGGCCAAGAGTGCCACCTGAAGGCCAGCAAAGGGACAACTGTTAATATGAGATTTGCCTTCCCCAGACTCCCCAAACAGGGATCTGTGCAAGTCTTGCTGTTTCTCTGTCCTTTTCCTTTTAGTTCCCAGATTCACTTATCTCCCAACTCTTGCTTCATTATATGGATGCAGATGAGTTGGAGTTATATTTTCATCAAAGAGAGAAAAACACAGTTTAACACAGTGATTTTCAAACTGGTGCCACAAGAATTTGTAAACCATGCAATACCTGACTATTTAGTTAGGGACACTGACATCTTTTCCTTTATTTTATTTTTTCATATATGCCTCAACTTTTAATAAGATGCCCTATACACACATTTGCTACTAAAAATTGAAATAACACATCAAAAAACTTGTTACAATCACGTTTTTGAAATACAGAGAATCTAGTTAATGCACCCTGCCCTAACCATGTTGTAGCCAAACCATTCAATGTATTCTGTTTTATATTTCTCCATACAAGTTACTTGTTTCCCATTCTTGATGTTGGGTTTCATGTTACTGACTTCAGGCTTCTAAAACACAATGACAACTCAAGACCTGTTAGTGCTTCTTTGGCTCAAATAAAAAGGAACTAAAGTATATTGAAGTCATTTAAATACAATCTAAATTGATTCCTGGCATCATGGTAGACAAGAAAAAGATGCAAGAGAAAGACATCACAGAACTTCTATCATACGTAGGTGATCTAAATATTAGTATACAGCTATTCTAGCAGAGTAGTTTACCTAAGCTGCTGCATAACAACCTTAAACTTACTAGCAAGAAAAAAAAAGTACAAGAACAAGGTTTATATCTAATTTGACTCCATTTTATAATTCTCCATGCTAATATTATCAAAAGGATCTCCATAATATAGGTAATAATGTCAGCTACATGTAAATCTTCTGAATCTGGATTCAATCTCAAGTTTCCTCTCCTGTGGGTCTTTTTAAAGCAAAGATCTAATAACTTGTAACATCATTTCTTTCCGAACAGTTCATCACTCCACACTGTCTCCTGTAGAGCATACCTTGATTTAGTCCCAGTTCAACCCCTTTAAGTTTTTTTCTCTGTCCTGCTGTTGGGGTGGACGTTTTAGTGAAAGGGAAGGGCATTTTGTAGAAGGGCTGAGAGTCAAGTTACTAAGGTCCTTTGCTAGTACTTGAGTGCCAGCTGAATCTTCTTCACTGGGAATCTGAGAAGACACTCCAGGGCCCAGGGTGAGTTATTGGAAGTCTAGACACAGTCTGAAGTTCCTCCGGAATTCCATCTCCAAAGAGTTCAAGCAGAAAGAAGTGCTCAAAACCCTCAAATTGCTACAAAGTCCCTCTTTTCCTTTAGGTTGTCAAATAAAATGACAACAGCCAACACTATAGCCGTCCGGTATGGGTAAATCAAAATTATACCTATTTTTTTTTATTAGATTAGCAAAAATACATATTTTGGTGTGCCACAGAATTTCAGTAATGTGTGCCATGAAATGAAAAAAGGTTGAAAATCGCTGGTTTAATGTATAAATAGAAAATAGTTAACAAGTTAGTGCTTTAAATAAACCTCTAAAGGCCTTGTAAATGTCTAGAAGTAGTCTTCTCTTTGCAAGCCTTAGCTTTTCTCTGCCTCCCACCTTTAAAGTTATGTTTTTCCAAATATCAGATAAAAAGCCAAACTGTTTCTTAATCAGATTTACTTTGTTTTGCTTAATTACTATTATGGCATCAGAATAGATTTTTATTGCAATTGCTTGGTATTTACACAATCAATTATTTGTAAGGAGGCCTAGGAACTATTAGCTAAATCTATTCTCTCTAAATCAAGGTTTCCTTTTAGGAAAACAAAGTTTGCAGGACTACTGTGATAAATAAGTAAGACAGTGGCACTCACTAAATGGCACTCACCTTAAAAAATTTTTTTTAACCAGTTGGTAAGTTGGTGCTCATATGTTCTATACAGACACATTTGTTTATTTCTATCCTCATTTAATTTTGAAAGAGAGAGAGAGAGAGAGACAGACAGACAGACAGACATACTCCATGTATAATAGTTAGACTTGTACCTCTTTGGGATACTATCCTCACTTAAAGACTGACAACCAGAGAAACACAGAGGAGGGGACCAGCAGCTTGGTAACTTGACAGATAGCAAGGAGGAAGGGCCTTATTAAGACAGTGGCCATTGAAACCATCACAGGATACTAAGTTACCTCCATGCCCACATTAGAATGTAGCAAATTACTAGGACACATCTATAATAATAAAAGCATAATATGCTAATTAGACCAGACAACTGAATGACCTTCCAGATGTCATTCTGGACAGCCTTCCTCTAAGGCAGAGGCAGTTAAAGGTGATCAGGCAGGCAGAAGAGCAGTTAGGGGCGACCAGGCAGACAGGCAAATGGTTAGGAGTGATCAGGCAGGCAGGGAGGCGAGCAGTCAGAGATCCAGGATTGCAAGAGGGATGTCCTACTGCCACAGGGCAGGATCGGGCCTAAACCAGCAGTCAGACATCCCCTGAGGGGTCTCGGCTTGCGAGAAGGTGTAGGCTGGGCTGAGGGACACCCCCCCCCACACACACAAATTTCGTACACCAGGCCTCTAGTAGTTTATAAATCACGTCTCATTAGAATCTATTCAAATGTGATTATAGTACAAATCCAAGTCCTAAAACTTTTATGATGGGGAAAGGGAATAAACCTTTTCAAACCTGAATACCTTAGTATGAACAGAGAACCACTCTTGAAATATTAATAGAAGGAAACTGAAAATGGTTATAATATTGAAAATGGTTATAATTATTAATTATTGCTTTGTATTCTCCTTCCACATAGCCCATGTGTCTGATTAATAATGGCATAGGAACTTGATGTGTCTCCCCCCCCTCCCCCACATAAGCTAAAACAGCTTAAAAATTCTGTTGTCCATAAATATTGGTTCTAATACTGGCAAACTGCCACTTCTTACTAGCCTGAATTTTTTAAAAAAAATTCAAACGATTTTGTTTTTGAATGTTTAAACGCCTATAAAAATTCATACGTAGGACTTTTTAAGACCTTGGTATGCCCTTTTTATGTATTCTTTCCATTTTAATTTTGTTTAAAAATTCAATGACCTTGTTAAAGGCATTAAAGTAAAAGGCAAATATTTTACATGTCATTTTTTATTCACATGAAGCCATTCTAAGAGGTACAATTAAAACACTATTCTTGCCAAAACCAGTTTGGCTCAGTGGATAGAGCATTGGCCTGCGGACTGAGGGGTCCCAGGTTCGATTCTGGTCAAGGGCATATG